CGCTTTTGGTACTGGGGATTGACCCACAGGTACTCTATCACTCAGTTACATCCCCAGCCCTTTTTATTTTATTTTGAGACAGGGTCTCACCAAGTTGCCAAGGCTAGCCTTGAACTTGCAGTTTCCTGCCTCAGCATCCCAAGTCACTGGGGTTACAGGTGTGTTCCATCATACTCCGTCTTCTCTCTCCGTCTTTCTAACCTTTGTCCCTTTATCTTTTAGATTTGGACAGGTACTCCCAGGGCCTGGGCCCCCTACCCAAGTTCCAGGTAGCACTGCATTTCTGGGAGAGGAGCTCTGACCCCAACAATACCTCACAGAATCTTATCACAGTGCAAGTGAGTTCAGAGCAGGGGCAGAATAACCTGTCTGCTGGGGAGAGGGGAAGGGGTATTCAAGAAGAAGGGGTCTTCTTTGTGGGAAGGGAGCTCCTGGGGGTAGTGTCTGTCCTGCTGTGTTCACTGAGCCCTGTTCCTCATCTCTTCCTGTACAGATGGAGCAGGCCTTTGCCCGACATTTACTGGAGAAGAGGAGCAGGCAGCCACTTTTATCCTGCTGTAGTCTAGGGGACCCACCTGCTGCCTCACCTCTCTATTCCTCCTTTCTCCTTTGAAATAAACTCATGCTTCACTCTGTTTTACTGCTTCCCCTTGTGATAATGGTCATGGCTGTAAATTATGTCCTTGAACTGCTTACCCACCCTGGCTCATGAGAAACTCAAGGATTATTTTTGTCCTTTTAAAAAAACACTCTCTTTTATCTCTAAGGAACTGGGATATTCCAAGCAGTAGAAACTCAAGGGGGCCTTTCCCTTTTCACCCAACCTCCAATTCAAAAGCCAAGCACTTTACATTTTCTTCCTACATCTCCAATAAGGATTTAAAATAAAAATTTTATTGAAAGATGAATCAGTATCTGATTTGTTGGAAGAAGAAGGTGGCACTTGGGTTCTTTTCCTCCTGACATATCTAGGCCCCTTTGCTCTATTCCACCCATAATACTAGCTGGGACACTGTCTGGGCTCTGTGGGTTCTGGACCTGGCATTCTTCAGAGGAGTACCCAATAGGTAACCAAGATAAGGGAAAGGTTGGAATCATCCACCAAGAGGGAATGGGCCTATAGGCAAACAGCCAGACATTACAGCCACCATCTTCACATTGGAAGATCTGGGCTCCAGTTTTTTGCTAGACACCTCTACTTCAGGCCTGGATTGGGTTGAGGCCTAAGCAAGGAGGAGATACCTGAGGTTGACCTGAAACTATGGTCTAGAAGCCCTGGGACCTGGGGATAGAGGGATGAGAGGGAAGAGTTGCTGAACCTCTTGTGCTTGTTGCTCCTGTCTCTGTGGGGCCATATCAGACCCTGATGCTTTTCCTCCAGCACAGAGTATATACTGTCACCCAACAGGAGGTCATGGTGGTGCATGCCTATAATCACAGCAATTCAGGAGGCTGAGGAGGAGGATCAGAATGTTGAGGCCAGCCTAGGCAATTTAGTAAAACCCTGCCTCTAAAAAAAAATAATGGCTAGGAATATGGCTCAGTGGTAAACTATACTTGTCTAGCATGGGTGGGGCCCTGGGTTTCATTCCCAATAACACACACACAAACAAACAAAAAAATTCTTCCAGACTGGATTCCTTGTTCCACCTGAGACCCATAAAAGACCACCTGGCCTAGAATGTCTTGTTCCCAACACCTTGTTTGCTGAAATCTGTGGACTCCAGATTGGCTGACTCTCCTCTCCCTTACTTCATGTTCATTTTACCACCAAACTGGAAGTTCTTCCTTTATATGGCCAATGTCATTCACTTTTCTGAATATTCACTTCCACTAGACTAATTCCAGTCCAGGTCACTTGCTCACCTGACTTGTCATAGCCTCTAGCTTTCCCTTTCCTGCACATGATACCAGATTGGTTTTCCAGACTCCTTCCTGCTCTATCACTCTTATAAACCCTCAGTGGCTCACCTTCATGATCAAATCTAGATACCTAAACGCTCTTAGGATCTCACTATCCCAATCGATCAGCCTCAGTGCTGCCTTGGAGCCTTTCTGCCTCCTACACTTCCCTCTTTCTTTTGGTCTATCCATTCTCCTCCTGGGAAGTCAAGAGCCTAAACAGACATCTGCACTAGCAGCAGAGAAAGATACTGAGTACCCAGGTGCACAAGCCTTTTTGTGCCCTCAATTTGCTGAAATTATTTCGTTTACTTCCGTCTTCTCTCATCCCACATCCAGTCCATCAGTAAATCTTGTTATTTAAAAATATATCCATGGGGGGCTGGGGATGTGGCTCAAGCAGTAGCGCGCTCACCTGGCATGCTGACCCGGGTTCGATCCTCAGCACCACATACGAACAAAGATGTATGTCCGCCGAAAACTAAAAAGCGTTTCTTTCTGTCT